AATAAGGCGGAGTGCCCAGTTAGGTGCGATGGTTATCTTTTATTTGGGTGATAATGTGCTCCGTCGAGGCATTAGGAATGACTGGTAGATTTCTGCTCCTGGTCATGACCGTCCAGTGCTCGCGTTGCTCCGGCTCTCTGTTTTCTTTTTTCTTTTGTTCTGTCTTGTCTACCGATGACATATTTATGTCAATATAAATACACTATGCAATATAAATATAACAAATATTTATGTTTTTGTGCATAAGAATTTACACATAACTACATTGTATGGATATACCTCCGCGTTCGGTCAGCTGAAAATTCTTCAAAAAAACTGTCACGCCGTCACACCTCACAGTCGCAGCAGAACGCCATCGGGTGGCAGTTATGGCGAACAGAGCCGGAAGCAATCACCGACCTGAGACACCTGCACGCACCACGCAGCCAAGATGTGCAGGTGCATCTTTGTATTCACTACCACCCGCATTCGCGAACAGTGGGCCGTGAACCGCCACACACGTGCGCGTAATATTTTACCTCATCACGCGGGCCCGTCAGCCGGCTGGCCCTCACCATCATGGCGGCCGGTGAGTCACTTCAATATGGCAGCCCATCTGGCAGCCGACGCCCGTGTAACTCGGGCGCCCACCGGCGCCATAACAATCACGAGCCGTCATTCCCGGGCCCGGCCGGCGCCCAACTACCACGAATCCTAATTAAGACGTGTAAAAGTCGTGAGCCGAGATTTATAATTGGAAGCTAATTGAATTAATGTTTTAATTTGAGCCGGCTGAGTTATCAGGCGCGCTGCACCGGAGACCGGCGGTGCCCCGGGGCACCGGAGACTACGGGCGCACCGTCTGCAGGGCCGCATGCAATGCTCGGCCAGCCGCCGGTTAGTGTCGACCTGATGGGAATATTCCACGGCCGTTATGGCCGGGAAATTAATTCGGAATCAATGAAGCCGTCAGAAGTGACGCGAGGAGGGCGAGGTGGGAGGATGAGCGGGGCCGGCCCACGGCGCTGCGGGTCAGAAGGTCACTGTCCTAGAGCCGGGACTGCGGGCGAGGTTGATGCCGCTCCACTCCCATCCCGGGTAATCTCACAGGGCTTGCACGGTGGTTGGTACGCTGGCCACGCGCGGGTGGCAACGGCGTTCCGGCAGGCATCCCGAGTGCGGCGGCGTGCTGAAATCGTGGGCGTGAATGTGCCTTCGAAATGCGTTTGATAGAGGATGGAGTGCGGCCAGGGTCCAGGGCTGTTGAGCATTTGAACCCTTTTCACGCTGCCATCATCAGACTTGGACCGAATTTAGTACTAATTCTGAAGTGCATGACAATTTCAAGGAGCAGGAGCGAAACTTCTCGGCCCTACTCCCGGCCAAGGCTATGAAATGAAACCTTATTGTCACTTCTGGAGCGGCTTTATTTCGCCATTAAGAACCCATCGTTTCACACTTGTTGTGCGTTATAACTTGGCCCTGTGGGACGAAGTCCACATCCATAAAATGTCCAATTGGCTCCGGGCGACGAACCAAAGCATTGCTGTAGTGAAG